TCTAGGGGGCACGTGTCCCCTACCCGGAAATGCAAAATCATGTATATTTATGTGATTTTACACAGCGCAGCCACCATAGCAGTACATCTGCTATAGGCATGTTCATCAAGTGGTTAAGCTGGGTATACACATATCAAAATTCAGCCAGTTCAGCAGGAACTGGACAAATTTTTGTCTGTATGTATCCCTCTCTGTTCTGTTGAACGGTCCTGTTGGAATACCAATATGCAGCAGCTGCATGGCTAGTCAGTGTATTCTGACAGGAGGAGGTTCTCACTGGCAGAATACAAAAAGAGGATAAAATTCACCTGTATATGCTGAGTAGTTGCAAGGCTATGTAGAGTTTTACTAACACTTGCCAAAGTCACAGACCTGCGTGTAGGCATTAGGGTTTGTTTTACCTTTGTCATTGAGGGGTTAATAAAAATAGATTTCTACTTACAGTATAGCTTATTGGGGGATAAAATGGTTTAATTACATGTTGAGCTTTGTGTGCGTAGCAAGTACAGAACAGGTACACTCTTACTCTGAAACTTGAATTTTCATCTAATTATTATTGCAGTGTGCAAGTCCATTGTGTGATGGTTCCAAGACCCCTGGCTATGATGCCCAAATAAACCCAGAAACCTTGGTGTGGTTTGACAACCTTCAGGCACATGAGAATGCAGAGCTCTGAAGAACTATGAGAAAGCAGTTAATTACAGAAGCTGGCTTGAGATTATTGAAAGCTGCTTATAGGTATAAGGGGCAGACACCCAGAGAATTCTCTGCTTCACTTGAATACCAGGCTAGGCTTCAGCACTCTCAGTAAATGTTTTCCCATGCCCTCCTTTGCAATCTTATTTGCCAGGGAAGCAGCTCATCACAGGAATCAGCCAATAGTGTGCATAATGTTTTGTGGTAAATTGACACTCACCAAAAGTGTTGGCAGTATTCTTAACATGACCAAGAGTAAACAAGATTTTATGTATAATCGTTATACCATTCTAATGTGTTTACTGGTGTTTTAAAACTACCAAGGGATCAGACACAATCATCAAAAAAAAAAAAAAAAAAAAAGCGATCAAGCAAAATGTTTTAAGGGTATGGCATAAACTGACACAGTGGTGAAACAGCAGATTAAACAGCTGGCAGTGTCTTTTCCTTTTTTTACCATTCCTCAACTGGCAAAAGCAGGAATATTCATGTGGTATGCACAGTCAGGCATCATACTCACAGCCAGTACATCTATTATGGCAAAAATATTTGAACTGCCATTACTGATCTCCAATGGAGAATGCTAGGTGCCTGAGCCACAGACCATGAAAGTGCATGTAGCAAATTAAAGTCATAGAAAAACATGTGTTCCCTAAACCTATACTCGTTTCTAGTTAAGAACATACTGAAGTCAAAGCATCAACAAGACAACTAGCATATACAGTGCTCAGTATAACTTAATACACCTCTTTTTAAAAGTAAGAATTTTATCAATATCTCAATGAACATAAGAACAATTTCCAAAATTTGACAAAACTGAGTTTTATAGAACATTTGTTTAGTTCATTACATGAAAGTAAGGTTAATAATATAACCTGGATTACAAAACCTTCAGTTTTACTCAAATTAGTTGATGCAAAAATGAATACACCCAACAACAAAAAGTACAACATCTAGTATTTTGTATAGCCTCCATGATTTGTAAGGACAGCACCAAGTCTTCTAGGAATGGAATGAACAAGTTGGCGATATATTGCAACGTCCATCTTTTTCCATTCTTCAAGAACAACCTCTTTTAGAGCCTGGATGCTGGATAGAGAGCGATGCTCAACTTGTCTCTTCAGAATTCCTCATAGTTGTTAGATTTGGTTCAGATCAGGAGAAGTACTTGGCCACTGAATCGCTTTCCCCCTGTTCTTCAGAAATGCAACAGTGGCCTTAGATGTATGTTTTGGATCATTGTCATGCTGGAAAAGTGCACGACGACCAAGGGCACGGCGTATAGAGCAGTATATCTGTGAATTCATGATACCATCAATGAAAAGCAGCTCCCCGACCCCAGAAGCACTCATGCAGCCCCACAGGATGACACTGCCACCACCATGTTTCACTGTAGGCACCATGCATTTTTCTTTGTAGCCTCACGTTTGCTACACCATACAGTTTTGAAGCCATCAGTTCCAAAAACATTTATATTGGTCTCATCACTCCTGCATACAGAGTCCCAGTAGTTGTCTTCTTTTTCAGCATGGGCCCTGGCAAATTCCATGGCTTTTTTGTGCATGGGCTTTAGGAGAGGCTTTCTTCATGGACGACACCCATGCATGTCATTCCTCTGCAGTGTACGCTGTATTGTGTCACGGGAAAACATCACCCCAGTTTGGCTTTCTACTTCTTTAGCTAACTGCAGTGAACTTGCATGCTGATTTTCTTCATCCCTGCTCATCAGAAGACGCTCCTGTCCAGGTGTTAACTTCCATGGACAGCCTGGACATCTGTGAGATGGTTGCAGTTCCATCCTTGTTAAATTTTGATATCACTTTTGCTACAGTATTCTGACTGATAAGTATAGCTTTGCTGATCTTCTTATAGTCTTCACCTTTCCTGTGTAAAGAAATTATTTTCTCAGGCCTTGTGACATTTCTCTTCCATGTGGTGCCATTGCTGACAACATGAAATGGGAAGGGGTTTTCTTTGTTAAGTAAGAACTTTTATAATCAACTTTCTGCTGGACACCTGTTTAACAAGAATTCAACTACAGGTGAGTCTAACTATGCATTAATCAGAATTTGTCTAAAATGTAGCATTGCTCCTAAGGGCTCATGTACACGGGGTTTGGAAAATTCTTCTGAACGATGGAAACTGACTGCTGGAAAACGTAGGTTAAAAAATGTCAGTTTAGCCACGTTTGCATACTGTGTTTATGCGCGATTGCGTTTAGAAGCGTTTTTTTAAAGACAACCTCAGGAGACCCTCCCAAATGCCCAGAATGCACTGAAAAATAGTAAAAAATTAACGATTTCAGACATATTGAGAGGAATAGAGGGCAGAAGCAGAGAGAGCAGTATTTGTTAAAATTACCTGTCTTTTCTGGTTGTATTCACTATGGATCCCATCATGAGCATAATGCAGCACGTTCTACCATTTTTTTGCTTCACGCAAAACCTGGAACTGACTGCACCGGTGTACTAGGTCCATTTGAATACATGGAAAACGATTTACATGCATTTCTGGTGATGAAAAAAGGCTCTGGACAGCATCTGGACATGTTCACAGTTAAAAAACGCTTCTAAATGCAAACGCTTATAAATGCGGTTAACCGCGTTTACAAGCATTTGAAACGCCAGTAAAATCTACTCCTGAATACAAGTTTGGTACGTTAAAAAAAAAATGACTAAACTTAACTGCCTGTAAACGACTGTAAATGAAAATGTGTACATGGACATATAGGAAAACAGAGTTCAGGGGCTGCTGAAAAAAACGCTGAACAGCTCCTGAACATCAGTTTAGGAGCGCAGTGTACAGGAGCCCTAAGACTTTCATTGGGGTGTATTCATTTTTGCAACATGGTCTTGAATGAATTTGCTAGAAAAAATACTTTTTTTGTGTGTGCAAATCAATGGCCTGCATTTGTGGGAGTATTTTGTACTATAGTGTCCCATAGAAAATGTTGATCGGAAAGGAAAGGTTTTCTGAGAAATCTGTTGGGGTGCACTCATTTATGCTGAGCACTGTATATAGGAGAGATTAACCACGGTAGGTGGCATAATTTTTCTCACAACAGGTTTGCTTTATGAGGTTTAACAGTCATCAGTTTGAAGAGCTTTACTTTCTAAACTGCCTTCCGCTCGGCTGGAGGTAAGAAAGCATGTGACAAACAAGTTAAACCATGTATTAGCAAATCTGTTTTTGGATAGCTGGTAATATATTTGTTCCTCAGAGTGAAGTCCATCTTTAAGACCCCCACTTTTGTTGCACTTCATTGAACTTGCTCTGATTTTATCAATCTTTTCTTTATAGGTGGGGTCTAAGCGCTGATTTGACATACAGAGAAGGTGAAATGTGGAAAAAGACCTCCTGCCTACACTAAATTCATTGTTCTCTATCATAATGAACAATCAGGAAAAAAAGAAAGCACAAAATAACCCTTGAAATTATAGCTAATCAACAAACAGGTGCTTCAGGCTGGTACTCAGGATGATAAATTTATTCAGCACAATAAAATACAGCAATGACTAACATGTCAATAATGGTCTTTGTTCTATGTAGTGGTTGGTGTCAAAGAAATGGATTTTCATCACAGAACGTTGGCAAAGCACTGGTTAAATCCAGTGAAGGTATTGTGTTATTCTGTAATAATTGAATTTTATGCCTCTCTGCTGCAGCTTATAAAAAACATCTCTGCTGTGCAGGAATAACTGCTGTCCAGAACGAGAGCAGCCAAGCGAGGAGACAGCAAGTGTCTAGATCTCCCATGAGCCCCTGCAAGAACAAATTACAACATCTCATGCACCACCCCCTTCACTCCCCCCCCAACCCTCTTCCTACTCATGAAGCAATTACAGTCAAAGAATAGCATATAGCCTTGCAAAAATGTTGGGGATAATAAGCTTTCACAGCATCTATTACCTTATGGGTTACCAAGAATTTGGATAGTGTAATTCTAGATTCAATACAGGTAACAGAACTGCTTGTCGGGCATCCACAAACAGATGTAGGTGAATGCAGATTACAAATATAATGAAAACATTTAACACAATGCACAAAAGAAAACATAAAAGTATAACATCCTGTATGATTTGTACTCCCAATACCAGAAAGCAAAGTGCAAGTCATTCTGCACCACACACACATTTTTATATGTATTGCCACGTATATAAAAAAGTCAGTTAAAGGTGGAAAAGGTGTTCACAATTCCCAGAAACCCATCTTCAGTGCAGGGATGCATAAATCCCAGAAGCCAAATAACTAGTTTGCCATTAAAGAAACAACTTGCTTACACTTGCCATGTCCCAAACTGGCATCTATCTGCCCATTGTAGACAACAAAGTGGGTGAATATCTTTCACTGGGAATGTCATGTCGTGTTTGGGTCCAGCGCCACACAAGCAAATCTGCTCCAGCCACCCGTTGTGATTCTGTACGAAGTCGAGATTCATTATCTTCAATAAATTGCACAGCCCGATCCCAGACTTTTTTTAAAAGTTTCCTAGAAAGATTAATGAAAAAAAAAAAAAAAAAAAAAAGTATTAACATTCTTTCTTAAAAAGTTTGTCATTATATACTGTAAAACACCATAATGTCTTGGCATTTTCTGCTATAAGATATGCTATAACCTGGCGTGGACGAACAGTAGGAGCCAAGTGGCAAAGCCAAGTGAATTTTTATGTGCAAGCAATATGGTATTTGGGAAGGGAACAAGACAATACTATTCCAAGACACCTCATTAAGCTGTTGGGCAGCTATGAAAACATGCAATACTAACTTGAACCAACAAGAACGGACCTAAAATCATCATTGCCATAAAATACATACCTGGAATTAAGTGTCTGAAACCTACACATTATCAAAATGTGGGATGGAAAAATGATGCATTAAAAGAGAAGCATGGAATGGCTTTTTTTCCAAAAACCATTCTTACCTAGGTGGATGCAACATTGGTCCCCCGCCAGCTCTAAGTGTGAGAACTCAGCGATCACATGACTGTTGATCACAGAGTTCTCACTGTTGCTGTGGGCAGAGAGCAGGGACGACCCACCGCATTCTCTAGGCTATGGAGGGGAAGAAACAGCTGGCTCAGGCTCTCAGCAGATCACTGAGCCATGTGCTGCTCCAGACTAGGGTAGATCCCAACCTTAAAGTGAGAGTGACGTCAGCTGACAGCTGTGGATCACAGGAGTACAGAACCAATTGCACTCCTGTGATCCACAAAAGTACAACCAAAAGAGCTTTGGCTGTACTTCTTTTATCAAAAGCTCTATACACAAAGGCCTGTGTGCCTGCAGATGACTTAGCAGAAGAAATTTTATCTGGGAAAACCTTTTATAATATCTCTCCCTGCAGAATGACCATACCAAAAATCTCAAGCGACGCAGTCGTGCGCTAGAGCGACTATGGCGCAAAAACCAAATCCCAACAAGCGTTCACCCGATATAAATCCGCCTTCCTCACCTACACTTCCTCCCTCCACGCTGCCAAGCAAGCCTACTTTTTAACCCTCATCAATACCCTCTCCTCCAGTCCTCGCCGGCTCTTCTCCACTTTCAACTCCCTGCTCTCTCCGCCCCCACCTCCACCCAGTACCTCACTTACCGCCCACGAGATTGCTAACCACTTCCAAAGCAAGATCGACGCAATTCACAGGGACATCACCACTGCTCAGACTTCTGCCCCACCTAGCATCCCTCAACGAAAAACCCCAATCCTCTCTTTCAACCTCGCCACTGTCCAGACCTCCACCCCGCCCAACATTCCTCACACTAAAACCCCCTCAACACTCCACTCCTTCGACCCTGCTAGCACTGAAGAGGTCACTAAGGTCTTCTCTGAAGCTCGCCTTACCACCTGCCCCCTTGACCCTGTCCCCACACAACTCCTACGATCACCCTCCTCCTCCATCCTACGCTCCCTCACTCACATCTTTAATCTCTCCCTCTACTGGCGCATTCCCCTCCCCTCAAGCACGCACACGTCACTCCCATACTTAAAAAACCCTCCCTGGATCCCACCGACCTAAACAACCTTAGACCTATCTCCCTGCTGCCATTTACATCCAAACTCCTCGAGTGCCTAGCCTATAATTGCCTAAGCTCCCACCTCACTAACAACCTCCTTGATCCCCTACAATCTGGCTTCCGTCTCCTACACTCCACCGAAACCGCCCTACTCAAACTCATTTACGCCCTGCTAACCTCCAAAGCCAATGGCCACTACTCAGTGCTACTACTCCTTGACCTCTCTGTGGCTTTCGACGCGGTCGACCACCCCCTCCTCCTCAAAACACTATACTCTTTTGGCCTCAGACTCCGCTCTCTCCCGATCTATCACAACGCTTCTTCAGTGTTACCTATAACGCTGCCACCTCCCCCTCACTCCCCCTTTCTGTTGGGGTCCCCCAAGGTTCTGTCCTCGGGCCCCTTCTCTTCTCCATCTACACCTCCTCCCTTGGTCAACTGATATACTCCCACGGCTTCAACTACCATCTCTATGCCAATGACACTCAAATCTATCTCTCTACCCCCTGCCTCACCCCTTCAGTCTCTGCCCGAATCACTAGCCTTCTGAACGACTTAGACTGGATGTCATTCCAATTCCTCAAATTAAACCTTGCCAAAACCGAGCTCCTAGTTTTCCCCCCAGCCCGCGCACCCCCCCCCCCCCAACCTCTCCGTCACGACCAACGCCACCATCAGCCCCACCCTAGAAGCCAGAGTACTAGGTGTCATTATAGACTCCAATCTGTCTTTCCAGCCCCAGGTCCAATCGCTGACAAATTCATGCAGACTCCACCTCCGCAACATCGCCAAAATACGCACGTTCCTAACTCCAGAAACTACAAAGCAATTCATTCACTCTCTTATCACGACTTGACTACTGTAACTCCCTCCTCGCCGACCTACCTCAATACAGGCTATCCCCACTTCAGTCTATCCTGAATTCTGCGGCCAGACTCATCCACCTTACTAACAGCTCCGTATCCGCCACCCCCCTCTGCCAATCCGTCCACTGGCTTCCGACTGCCCAACGCATAAAATTCAAATTATTAACATTGACGTACAACACCGACCTGATATCCATCTACCACCCAAAACACACTCTCCGCTCCTCACAAGACCTCCTACTCTCTAGTTCCCTGGTCTCCTCCTCCCATGCCCATCTCCAGGACTTCCCCCATCCTCTGGAACTCACTACCCCAATCCATCACTGTCACCTACCCTCCTCACCTTTAGGCGCACCCTGAAAACCCATCTCTTCAGAGAAGCCTACCCCGCCCTCACCTAATTGCCCATCTCCTCCGCTCTTCCCACCACTCCATCCCCCACAGCTATTTCCTCTTGTACCACTCTCCCCTCCCTCCTAGATTGTAAGCTCCAAGGAGCAAGGCCCTCGGACCCTTCGTGTATTGTATTGTATTGTTACTGTGCTGTCTCGTGTACTGTCTCCCATTATAATGTACAGCACTGGACAAACTGTTGACGCTATATAAATACTGTATAATAATAATAATAATAATAATCTCTCAAGGATAGCAAAAGCAAGAAAATGTGAACGGTTATATTTGCACATACACCTTGCCAAAATATAACAAATGAACGTGGGGTATTAAAAGTACACTAAGTTTCCAATACATAGTTAAAAGAAAAGACAGGTTCGGTTTAAAGATTTAAGCACATATATGTGGCCCCTCAGTGGGTGGGCTTTAACGCCGAGCATTCTCACATATTCGTTCCTAAGTAAACACATTACTGTACTGAGAGCGTGCTCCCAGCACAGTAACGAATGGGTACCAGAAAGTGCCCAATGCATACTAGCAATCGAGAGCTTTCCAATCATGTGACTGCCAATCAGAGCAGTCACATGATCAGAATGCCTGCCTCCACCTCCCAGCATTTAAAACCTCTTAAAGGGCAGGGAGGTGGGAAGGGGTTAAAGGAGAAGTCGACAATTTTAGGGTAGAACATGTAACATGTTCCCACTGCTGCAGCCTCTCCCTGACCCGCCGCAACCTCTACTGACAGTGAGCTAAGGATTTTCTCCCCAATCTCGCTGTCACAATTTAAAAAAAAAAAAAAAAAAAAAGCAGCTGTGCAGGGCTCCACCCACATCCTTCCTTTACAGCATTCTGTGAATGGGAGAACTACAAGTATGAGTTTAACATTGCGTTGACAGCTCTACGTAGTTCATTGTTTATTCCTGTCATGGTGGAACTTCTTGCTCGTATGAGAAAACAGCTTACACTGACAGTCTGCAGGAGTCCTGCAATGCACCCGCGATCTACTGATGTGAAACCTAGCCCTCAGCAGCAAAGGGGGGAGCCCACATGCATAAATTGCTGTAATTAAGCAAGAAACACTCAGGCAGTGAAAAGTTCACTAAATCGATCAGAATGAGGCCTGAGAATTCAGAAGAATCCACTGCTGCAATGGGAGACAACACAGGCATATCCCCCTAGGGTGACAAGTAAAATTTGCCCACACCCCTTCCTATGGTCAAGAATTAAAGCGTTGTATCCATCAATGAACGCAAGAGAAAAGCTGTTTCTGTGGATCGTTTGTTTTCATACATTGGCTTAACCATGTTTACCAAATACCTATGCAGGCTTGCTTAGCAGTGCTGCTGGGTGACTGTATTGCTGATCCTGTTATCTCTCTAATTCTACCACACAGGGGTCATTCTTCTTGAAAACAATAGGCTTGAATGACCTAAAAAATGTAGGCCACTTTTATGCATGCCCCTACTAGCTTCAGTGCAAGTGATTTTTTTTTTTGCGCTTACTCTCTTCTTGGTCAAATGATGGCATACAAGAGCGCCATTTCCTTTATCTGTGGTAAGAAACCATGCACTTTAATACAAGAACAGTATGGGCTGTTGTTGCTTACTTGTCCTGTGGCATTATGAGCGTATCTCTGACATGTAAGATACCAATGAATGGGTTCTGTTCGATTCTCTGCTGATAGTCTTTGTAGTGATGTTTAACAACATCTTTAAAAATGAGAGAAGAGAAAGAGAAGCAAGAGAGATATTAGTCATCCACATATACTGACATATGCAGTCGCATTGCATTAACAGTACGAGATATTTGATATGTACCAATGATTTTCTCGACCATAGCAAACATCTGTTTTTCCTCCTCTTCTAACTTCCTCCAGTGATAGCGCAAGTAGATCAAAAATAACCAGAGAACAAAGACACCTGATGGAAGAAACACTGGTAAATGTAAAATCAATAGCAGTAGAATTTCAACCAAGCATTATCAGTATTAAAGTGCTGTTGCAGGCCTGGAAAAAAAAATATGCTGCAAAAGAGAAGGCTGGTGTAGGTAGACATTACTTTTGTTTATTCTTTAAGTAATTTTGGAAATCTCATCTCCTGTACAAATTAAAGTCTTACTCCAAATTTCGGTTTGTAATTCCCACACTGGAACATTTTTTAAATCAGAGTATAGCATCAAGTCAATTAAACTCCTGGGATATTGATCTGGTCAGTTAAGTAGCAGAGGGGGTTGTTAATCAGTTTCAGCTGCTTTGGTGTTAATAAATTAACAACAGGTGCACTAGATGGGCAACAATGAGATGACCCCCAAAACAAAAATGGTTTTACAGGTGGAGGCCACTGACATTTTTTTTCCTTCCTCATCTTTTCTGTTTTTCACTAGTTTTGCATTTGGCTAGGGTCAGTGTCACTATGGTAGCATGAGGCGACCTGGACCCTACAGAGGTTGCACAGGGAAGTAAACATAAAAAATGTAAATAAATGTGGTTGCATAAGTGTGCACATCCTCTTAAATAACTGGGGATATAGCAGTGTTCAAAATTAAGCAATCACCTTTAAAATCAAGGTAAATAGGAGTCAGTACACACCTGCCATTTAAATTGCCTCTGATTAACGGCAAATAAAGTTCAGCTGTTCCAGTAGGTCTTTCCTGACATTTTCTTAGTCGCATCCTACAGCAAAAGCAATGATCCACAGAGAGAATTTTCAAAGCAGAGGGATCTCATTGTTAAAAGGCATCAGTCAGGAGAAGTTTACAAAAGAATTTCCAAGACATACCATGGAACACAGGGAACAAAGTCATCAAGTGAAGAAAATATGGCGCAACAGTGACATTACGAAGAACTGGACGTCCCTCCAAAATTGATGAAAAGACAAGAAAACTGGTCTGGGAGGCTGCCCAGAGGTCTTCATCAACATTAAAAGGAGTTGCAGGAATATCTGGCAAGTACTGGCTGTGTGGTACATATGACAACAATCTCCCGTATTCTTCATATGTCTGGGCTATGGGGTAGAGTAGAAAGACGGAAGCCTTTTCTTACAAAGAAAAAACTTCCAAGCCAGGCTAAATTTTGCAAAAACACATCTGAAGTCTCCCAAAAGCATGTGGGAAAATGTGTTATGCTCTGATGAAACCAAGATTGAACTTTTTGGGTACAATTTCAAAAGATATGTTTTGGCGCAAAAACAACACTGCACATCACCAAAAAAACACCATAGCCACAGTGAAGCATGGTGGTGGCAGCATCATGCTTTGGGGCTTTTTTTCTTCAGATGGAACTGGGGCCTTAGTCAAGGTAGAGGGAGTTATAAAGAGTTCCAAATACCAGTCAATATTGGCACAAAACCTTAAGCGTCTAGCAAAAAGCTGAACATAAAGAGGAACTTCATCTTTCAGCATGACAATGACCCAAAGCATACATCCAAATCAACAAAGGAATGGCCTTACCAGAAGATGATTAAAGTTTTGGAATGGCCTAGCCAGAGCCCAGAACTGAATCAAAAATGTGTCGGGTGATCTGAAGGAGGGCTGTGCATAGGAGATGCCCTCACAATCTGACAGATTTGAACTGTTTTTGCAAGGAAGAGTGGGCAAATATTGCAAAGTCTAGATGTGCCATGCTGACAGACTCATACCCAAAAAGACTGAGTGCTCAAAAGGTGCTTCAACAAAGTATTAGTTTAAGGGTGTGCACACTTATCCAACCATATTATTTTAGTGGTTTATTTTTATTTCCCTCCACCTAAAAGATTTCAGTTTGTTGTTCAACTGATTTGTACGCTTTATAGGTTACATTGAAGGTGGAAAAAGGTCTAAAATGATTTAGCTTTGTCCCATTTTTTTTTACATCACAGAAACCTGACATTTTAACAGTGGTGTGTAGACTTTCTTTATCCACTGTAGATATCCAGCATGCTATCGGATTTGTTGTTTGTGTTGTGTGTGTGTGTGTGTGTGTACACACAGTTGTTTTCAAAATAATAGCAGTCAGACATCACTAACCTGATCAATCACTGTTTTTGGTAGAAATGATATTTCTACATGGCAAATAATTTACTAGCAGGTGTAGTAGAGTAATAGAAATCCAACAGACCCAACAGTCATGACATGCATGCTCCTGACTCTGTGTAATGGAATCACTAATTGAAAGGGGCATGTTCAAAATAATAGCAGTGTAGAGTTCTATTAGTGAGGTCATTCATTCTTTGAAAAACAGGTGGCAATTATTGCCCTTATTTAAGGAAGGAAGGCAGCAAATGTTGTACATGCTGGTTACAGTGCATTTCTCTCTGAAATTCTGAGAAAAATGGGTCGTTCCAGACATTGTTCAGAAGAACAGCGTACCTTGATTAAAAAGTTGATTGGAGAGGGGAAAACATATAAAGAAGTGCAGAAAATGATAGGCTGCTCAGCTAAAATGAACGCAAATGCTTTAAAATGGCAACCAAAACCTAAAAGACGTGGAAGAAAGCGAAAAACTACCATTCGAATGGATAGAATAGCCAAAATGGCAAGGACTCAGCCAACAATCAGCTCCAGGAAGATCAAAGACGGTCTAAAGTTACCTGTGAGTACTGTTACAATTAGAAGACGCCTATGTGAAGCCAAGCTATCTGCAAGAAGCCCCTGCAAAGTCTCACTGTTGAAAAAAAGACATGTGCTGAAGAGGTTACAATTTGCCAAAGAGCACATTGACTGGCCTAAAGAGAAATGGCGCAACATTTTGTGGACTGATGAAAGTAAGATTGTTCTTTTTGGGTCTAGTGGCCGGAGACAGTTTGTCAGACGACCTCCAAACACTGAATTCAAGCCACAGTACACTGTGAAGACAGTGAAGCATGGTTGCACAAGCATCATTATATGGGGATGTTTCTCATACTACGGTGTGTTGGGCCTATTTATCGCATACCAGGGATCGTGGATCAGTTTGAATACATCAGAATACTTGAAGAGGTCATGCTGCCTTATGCTGAAGAGGAAATGCCCTTTAAATGGGTGTTCCAACAAGACAACGACCCCAAACACACCAGTAAACGTGCAACATCTTGGTTCCAGACCAACAAGATTGACGTTATGGAGTGGCCAGCCCAATCCCCGGATCTTAATACAATAGAATCTTGTGGGGTGACATCAAAAATGCAGTTTCTGATGCAAAACCAAGAAATAGAGAAGAACTGTGGAATGTAGTCCAATCATCCTGGGCTGGAATACCTGTTCACAGGTGCCAGAAGTTGGTTGACTCCATGCAACACAGATATACAGCAGTTCTCAGAAACAGTGCTTATACAACTAAATATTAATTAAGTGATTCAAAGGAAAGCAAAATCTTCAAACATTTTTCAGTTTATATAGTGAATGTTTGAGTTTGTAAAGAAGAATACAAACACTGCTATTTTTTGAACAGTCTAATATTCACTTTTCTTCAATTTTTTTTTAGAGGAACAACACAAATTTGATATATTTTTCTTCATGTTTTGATTTGGAATAGAATGTATAGTGTTCCCAATGCATTTATGTTTATGGAAATAAAAGCTATTAGAAGGATTTGTGAGCTTTATTCACTTTTTTCAACACACTGCTATTATTTTGAACACAACTGTATATAATATATTATACACACACACTCCTTTTATTCAGGTACCTTTGATCAGCATATCTTAAGTGCTGCAGAAGCGAGATGCCACCCTCTATCATACATCGATAAAACCAGGGTGGGGGATAAAGCCACAGCGCTACAGGAAGTGGGAACTAAAATCTGCATAACTCAATAGGAATTTATGCCATAGGGCTTTTGTTCTGCTGAATCTCACCTGGTGACCTTGCCAGTCAGTGTTCCTGTAGTACAGCAAGAATGCTCACCCACTGCTTTACAATACTCGCTCACAATGGTAGAAGCCTTGCCAAGGCACAGTGCATTCATATTCTCCTTGTTGTGAAAATGCATCATGCTGCCCATCAGTGCCACTTTCTGCCCACAGCGGTTGGCATGCTGGCAAATGTGGCTTGCACTTTATGACCCTGACCTGATGGTGAAGTCATAGCTTGCTTGATACTTGGCCAATGCTTCGAACATCGAGGAAGTATGACTTTGGTCACATGACTAAATAAAACCTAAAGAAAGAATGTATTTACAGAAAGGTGTTTTGAACTTGCTATAAGTGTAATGTGGTTACATAATCTAAGTTTTTAAATATTGGACTCAAACTGACAGAAAGCTTTTAAATGAACTAAAATAGGGGGAAAAAAAAAACTGCTAGGACAGCCAGGTCACATGACCTGTCAAAGTCAAAATGACAGAGCTCAGTGATTGGAGGAGAGCTTTTCTACATCATTAGGCAGAGAGAACTTTGTGGGATACCACATTCCGTATGCTCAATACGTAGAGGATTGCTAATTATAATGGACAGCAGGTAGCGATATCCGCTCTGCTATAAAAGGAGTCCCTCAATGACTGACAGTACCATTTATACAAAACAAAACCGTGAAAGCATCCGCTGCATCATGAGAGATCCTTTTCTTTGTTCAGACCAGCTATCAAATGTTAAAGAGAAGCCACAGAGGCCAAAATATTTAGAGGCAGCAGAGTAGAAAAACAAAAGTAAGCCTTTATTCACAGTAGTAGTACCTTTTAAAATACCATGTGGTTCTGAAATGTTATTGTTTTATTACAAATCGTGTTTAGAGGAGCTGTTCTTTTAATACTTGACAATATTACAACTTTTAAATTAAAAGAGCCAGCCACCAGAGCCCTGTAAACGTAGTATGGAACACAAATACTTAAAAGGAGAAGTGGATCACAAGAGTGCAGTTCGTTCTGTGACCCATTTCAGCAGACAGCGGGCTGAAGCCGCTGTCGGCTGACGTCACTCAGCCGGTCCAGACTGGGGAAAGACCCCAAATTCAAAGAGTCTGGAGCGGCACCTGGCTCAACCTCTCAGTGAGACACAGAGCCTGAGCCAGCCGCTCTCTCCCCCTCCACAGCCCAACGCTCCAGTGACCGCTGGGAGGAGCAGCGCAGACAACAGTGACTGACAGTCACTGCTCTCTGCCCAGAGCAGCTGTGAGAGCTCAGCAGTCAGGTGATTGCAGAGTTCTCACACTTAGAGCCAGCAGGGGACCGATGCTGCATCCACCTAAGTATAACTGGGGGGAAAAAAATGAAATCCACACTTCTCTTTTAAGCCACCAGATTAAATAGGGACAAATAAAATAACTGTACACATAATAAAGAACTTCCTACCAAAAAGGGCCAGGAAAAGGTTAGAAATGGCTGTGTAAAGCGCATTTGTCAGTCGGCAAGTAATTCCAAGATGTGGCCGTGAAGACTCAACACAGGAGACGAGGAAGCTTGTGCTGACAATCTCACCATCTTCGCCTTTTGCCCTGAAAGATGCATGCATGGTCTCAAGTTAGTCTTAGAAACAACATTTGATATTGTAATTTGTATTGCTTGTTCCTTCCTATCAGATATAAAGAAAGTGACCAGAAGTATAAATATTAGCAGCAGTATGCAGTCTGACTCACCATATTCCTAAATGTTCATCCCTGTTCAGCAGCCAATCTAGAGCCGAATCAAATTTCTCTGGTGCATGGTCAAAAGCATTCTATAAAGGATATGCAACATTATAAGGTTAAGCCTTCAAAATCCAATGACTCATGACAACATGACAAGTCTTCACTTACCATTACATGTTCCTTTGCTCTCTTAATTGGTATACACTTGCTTTGCAAACCGGAAGGATTTCCACACTCAAAGCTACCTAATTTGATAAAAGAAGAAATGCAGGGCTTAATGGGACTTAAAAACAGAAGTAATAAAAAAATGATGACAAGAAACTCTGTATATCTCTTCTCTCTTTTTTTTTTTCTGTTTTTTGAACAGTGTACAGAGAAAGGTATTTGCACAGTTCTCTGCCAGGACAAAAGTGACCCCTGAGCAATGGCAGGGAGTTGCATCATCCCAGAGCAGCCAAAAATTCAGAGCCAGGAAGACCAGGAGAATGTGGGTGGCACTGACCCTGCAACACTGGAAGGGATTGCTTGCTAGGTAATATGCAAATATGGCAATAAGCTCCTGGCAGCCCAAAATTTTCCTTTTGTTGTGGCGGTTTACTTCCGCTTCAGAATGGTGCTGCTTCTCTACAATATATTAAATCAGACCATTTGTGTAAAACAAAACGGTTTTGCATTCACGTTTAAGATGCATACATTAAAGCAATTACAATAATGTTAAATCATTGAAAAGGTACTTTATATTTAAGTTCACTTTCCACCACTGTGACTACGTTACCAACCCTTTCTGAACACTTAAAGTGACACTGTCTGTTGCCAATAAGTCCAGAAAAAGGAAGTAGAATGCCTAAAACACTTACCTCTGTGGCTGGTGGTGTCTTGGATCTTCACTGTCTTCAGGAGTTACAGCCAACAAAGAACCATCTGTATTTGTTATACTTCTGGGTTTGTCAGATGCCTATGCCCCCCAACTGTGTGCTGTGGTTCCAACAGCAAGGGGTGACCAGACATCCACCACACTTGGATAGAGTGTAAGAATTAGAAGATTTTTCACTGGTTGTAGCTTCTTAAGAAAAAAAATGCAACAAAAGTTTTGGTTGTGCCAGTGCAGTACTGATTTTGTGGTACGGTAAGATTCAGTAAGGATATTGATTTTGTGTCTAAGTAAGGGGAAAGGGTGAGCAATGTTAAAGATGGCTGCTGAGAAAGGAGGGATAACACAAGGGACCTGACCTAGGGAAGCACAAATGTATGAAATCTGGCCCTTAACACAATGGTGACTTGGAGATCGGCAAAAGGACTCAGCGAGAACTGTGGGGGACCCGTGATATGAATGCTCTTTGAAATGTTGGCTCCCTGCAGACTTTGGAGGAAGATTTCTGCTCAATGGAGCAGCAGTCTGGCACCACAGGTAGCAGTAAAGGTATTTACATACTCATTTTACAGACATGCCTTTTTGTAAATATATTTACTAACAACAGGGTCACTTGAAGCATACTTCATGTGAGCGAGAAAGAAATTTATTAATCAACAAGTTTATATTGCACTGGAGTTAATACCCTAAGTAAATGTAAAAATAGAAACAGTGCACTGGATAATGCAGAGTAAACCACATTAATCTTCATTAAAAGTGACACTGTACAGAGGGGTGTGGCCAAGATGGCAACCTGAGCGGCTGCATGTTTCAGCGCTCAGCCCAATCTTGAGGGGTGTGGTCCTTGTACCCTGATGCCTCACCGACCCTCCAGGAAGCTGAAAAGGGGTGGGGGGGTTGAGGTCAGAGAAGTTTGGCTTTCATGTTTTGCTGAAAAAAACGCTCTCTGCCCTGAGAGACCACATGGAGATTGCTCTAGGTCAGTCTCCAACATGGCGTCCCCAACGGAGGCCGAAAAACATGCTACTGCTTCACAGCCTGTATTGCAAGAGGTTATAACCGCTATTGCCAAGACGTTATAGCCGCTGACAACCAAAATCAAGGCCGTGCAGTTCAATTTGGGTCTGCTTTGGCAAGACCTGGACAAGAGTAGGTCTTGGTTCTCTGCAGCAGAGCAGCGGGTTAGCCAGGCAGAGGATACTCTCACTAAAGCACACTTCCTCTATTCGCTCACTTCCTCCATTCGCTCACTGCAGACCAAGATTTAGAACCTTAGAGCATAAGACTGAGCATGCAGAGAACCGCACCCGGAGAAAATCTTTGTATTGTGGGACTGGCGGAGGGTGCGCAGAGTGGAAGAATCAGACAGTCTTCGTGGAGAAGTTGTTGCGCCCTCTTTACTGCCAATGGCTCCGTTTTCTCCCTTCTTCACCGTGAAGAGGGTGCATCACATCCTCCCTCCCACCCCCCTCGGCACCACGATTATAAAGCTACTAAATTTCCGGGACAGAGATTAAAGTTTTCTGTGCTGCCACGGCTGGAGGTGACCTCGCCAGAATGGCAAGCTACTCACATTACCTGACTACTTGGTGGAAACGTAGAAGCTACGAAAGTAATTCGACTGGGTAAAGGCAACCATGTGAGTCCTGTTTCCTGCTCACCTAAGGGTCCAAGACCAGGAGTCAGTCCACTTACCTCCTCACCGCTGACTGAGTGACTGACTCTTCTTTGCACATTTTGTGGATTTGTGGATGAACCTGTGGCAGCCCTGTCTACTGTACTGCCCAGGAAAATCCATGTTTCCCTATTATTCCAGCATGTTTACAGAAGTCTGTTAATAGTTAACTCTCCATGAGCTTGTCCTAGTGGCTCACACCCTCCTTTCTTTTCTTGTCTCTATTGAGAGTTTTATGGACTCAAGCTTTCCATTGTTTGGTTGAAAATGCAGGGTGGGGGGGATAGTGGTAAATGTATAAGAAAGAAGAGAGATGCCTTCTAAGTGCAGTATATAAACACAATTTAATAAGCCACTGTTTAAAAAAAACTCAATAGTGATAGGTAAAAAAAGCCCATCAATTAGAGATAGTCTCCAGGTATGCCGCCATCATCCACATCCTGCAGACGTCCGTCCAACTGCCATGGGACCACCGTGGGTGGTAGGAGAGTCTCAGAACGCCACCACCGGAAGTGTCTGACCAGGTGTCAGGCGAGTTTGCAGGCCAATTAAGCACAGTAATCCCACGGTCATTGAACCAGGTTTTGGTGCTTTTGGCAGTGTTGGCTGGTGCCAAGTCCTGCTGGAAAATGAAGTCAGCATCCCCATAAAGCTCGTCTGTGGAAGGAAGCATGAAGTGCTCCAAAATCTCCTGGTAGACGGCTGCGTTGACCCTGGACTTAATGAAGCACAGTTGACCAACACCAGCAGATGACATGTCTCCCCAATCAACACAGACTGTGGAAACTTCACACTGGACTTCAAGCATCTTGCAGTGTGTGCCTCTCCATTCTTCCTCCATACTCTGGGTCTTTGGTTTCCAAATGAAATGCAAAAGTTGCTCTCATCAGAAAAGAGGACTTTGGACCCCTGAGCAACAGACCAGGTCTGTTTTTCTTTAGCCCAGGTAAGACATTTCTGATGATGTTTGTTGTTCAGGAGCGGCTTGACAAGAATTTGAAGCCCATGTCCAGGATCGACCTGTGTGTGGTGGCTCTTGATGTACTGACTCCAGCCTCAGTCCACTCCTTGTGAAAGTCCCCAACACTTTTGAATGGCCTTTTCCTGACAATCCTCTCCAGGCTGCGGTCATCCCTGCTGCTTGTGCACCTTTTTCTTCCACATAACTTTCTACTAATGTGCTTTAATACAGCACTTTGGGAACATCCAACTTCTTTTGCAATTACCTTTTGAGGCTTTCCCTCCTTATGGAGGGTGTCAATGATGGTTTTCTGCACAACTGTCAGGTCAGCAGTCTTTCCCATGATTGTGATTCCTACTGAACCAGACTGAGAGACCATTTAAAGGCTCAGGAACCCTTTGCAGGTGTTATGGCTTAATTAGCTGATTAGAGTGGGACACTTTGAGCCTAGAATATTGCACCACCTTCCACAATATTCTAGTTTTCTGAGATTGTGGATTTGGGGTTTCCATGAGCTGTAAGCCATAATCATCACAATTATGACAAATCACAGCTTGAACTATCTTGCTTTGCATGTAATGAGTCTATCTCATATTAGTTTCACCTTTTAAATTGCATTACTGAAATAAATGAACTTTTGCACGATATTCAAATTTTTTGAGTTTCACCTTTACATACATACATACATACACGTGTCTGTACACACGTGCATAAAATCCATAGCTACGTACTGGAGTGTGTGTGTGTGTGTATATATATATATATATATATATATATATATATATATATATATATATATATATATATATATATATATATATATATAATTTTTATTTAATGAAGATCTTAAAAAGGTCCTCTATGGGACTAAACAACCATGGATATTAGGTGGGATTGGAGATTCTTGGAATTAATAAAGTAAAATTATCAAAAAAAAAATTGAAAATAATTATGTTAATTTATAATAAAGTGTGGATCCCTAGCTCGTCATTAAGGCCCCCTGGGGTAAGGGTCCCCAAAGTGTCGATCCAAATGGTCTCCCATTGGCACAAACGTTTAAAACGTTTCTCGTTTGATGGTACTGGTTTTACCAGTTTTGTAAATAAACATTACCATTTTATATATATGTGTAGTCTTTATCGATTACCGGTAAGTCACCCTTGATCACCCATTATTCTCTTTTCACTATGTTTCACTTTTGGGTTGGTGACCCACTGATAAGCCTAAGGCCCACATTTATAGATATTTTTCTGAGAAGTTGGAGGCAGCTCATGGTGACCAATACTGAGACAGCCTTCTATTTTCTGAATAGGCCAAACCAAGAAGTTTTTATTACAATCTGCCCAGAGGGTATTTGAATATGATGACAAGAATGGGAAGCTGTTGGCCTGGTTGGCTCAGGTGCAGTTTGCTTCTACGCATGTTGGGAGTATTTAGGACACGACGGGTCAAGTTTTGACTTTTTTTTTTTTAATTTAAATATTTATTGGTTTTTCATGTTATTACAGAAAATTTCATAAAAAGAAACACAATACATTTAAGTAGTCTTAACATTTCTATTTTACCCCTTCTAATAACTCTTTTCTTGCCCTCCCCCCCCCCCCCCTTATTCCCCTCCCCCCTCTCCCTCCCCCACCCCTCTGCAAGTTCACCAATCTCACGAGGCCCAATCACTTTAAATAACTTCCTAATTTAAGATTTTTACTATATTTCTCCTTCACTTTTGATTTTTCCCATT